GCGTACAACCAATGGAGAATAAACGTATAAATTGTAGAAGTTTATGAATTTTTGCTTTATTTGCATACTTATTAACAAAACATTTTCTTATAGGGGATGTCTTCCAAAGCCGCGGAGCTGTCTATCGGAGTCAACACGTATGAGAAATGGACAACTCAGTATAAATCCTAATTCAATGTGAAATATTATAAAGTGTGTCGTACTATGTAAGAATTGTTTACATGCATATAATTATTAACTATAATAAATTAATATTAATTCATAACCAGGAAATAGTCAATCTTAATTTCAATATCTTGAAATATTTAATTATATAATTAATTATAAAAAAAATCAATTGATTGTTAGTCAGCATTCGTTTAAATTGTTTTAACAATCTTTTCCGAATAAATGTGTTTTTTTTTTAAATCCTAACGTTTAAAGTCTAGTAATTGAAATAGCTGCCTGTGATGATAACATGAAATAAAGATATACAGAAAAAAATTCAATTGAAATATAACTGGATTACTGTCAAATTAATTCATAGATTTTCACACAAAACAGTAAAAATACCAAACTTACGATTTCAAGTAATTAAAATTGATGAAGTATATCGTTAATATAATATGAAACAAACCAAATGAACAGGTAAAATAAATAAAGCTTCACTTTTAAGGACGATTAATTTGATTTATTCTCATTATTCCGAAGAATATGGTACTAAATTGTAAGAAGAAATTAATTAACTTTCAAATCGGTAAATCCCTTGAAATTGGATATAGAATATTGATTTTTATTCTGGAGTTGTGGAAATTGAACATTATTGAGAAAATCGATTCTGCATTCATTCGTCGAGATATAACAACAACGCTTTGATATGGCTCATCATTGCATTTTGCAACGTGCAAATCTGCAATAATCCGGGCATTGAATAATTCAACATCAAGGCCATTTGCATTGTCGACGGGTCTTGTAAATGTTTCTTCATACAATATTTCGTTTCAACAAGTCAAAAATAAAGAGGAAAAAGAGACCAACTCGTTGAAAGAAGAAAACAAAGGTATTTAAATTCATGGACATTGTCTGATGTCGGAGTGATCTTTATTTTCGGGAAGGACACATCGTGTGCAGTTCGGGCAGACCGCTCTAAAGCGTGGCTCTGTGCAATGACTCCATCGTATTCGCACACCGAAGTGCATTGTCAAGGCCGCGAACCGAACTTCTCATTTCGAGTTTCGGCCATGAGACGAAACGCCCAATGTACAGAATAAGCAACGATCGTCGAAACATAAATATGTAAATAAATCATGAGCGTATTTTACTTTTTTTCTGAAAAAAATCATGAAAATTATATATTTGTTATTCGAACAATATGTACCCTTATGCAAAAAATAAATAATACAGTGAAAAGTTCCATCAGCGAGATGAAAATAACTAAAAAAAATATTATTATTTATTTATTAAGTAACTAATTATTTATATGTTCTAACTATTACGTACAATTTACAGATTGACTGCAAGTTTCAGATCAGATTACATCATAATTTATAAGTTGAAAGGGAATTGAGAATTAAAAAATAATAATAATATTAATAACATATATATGACAGTAACAATAATAAAAAATAATTATAATAACTCCTGTAAAAAAATCCGCCTAAAACGGAAAAATTTATAGGGTGGATTACGACAGATCTCGGGGCCATTTTTTCATATTCATTCGGCTGACTAAACTAATTGTATTTCTGGTTTTATATACACATACAATTTATTTTGAAAACTTAGTTTCCGCTTCTTATATCCACCGCAGCTGCAAGTATCCTTAGATCTTCGAATCATTTGGTTGGTAATAAACTCTGAATTACAAGAATGTTGCTCTGGTTAGCACGACCCCACAGCACTATCCCGATAAGTCGATATTGGAATTATCATCACTTTGAATAAGAAAATCTTATTTTTACAAGAGAGTTTGGACAATCTCCCTATGCACCATTATGTCAATTCTTTCAGTTTTAATTCTAGTTGTAATCTCTTCATGTCACTCTAAGTTAGCACTGTAATTGATTTTACTTACTCTCATCAGCGTTCATTACATTTTTTTCTTTTGTCATAGTTAGCTTCATATACAAGTAAGTTATTCGTAATTCATTCATCATGCATTGCAATACAATTTGTAAACAGTCATGGTATAAGTAAAATGAATTAGCAAAACGAATCTAAAAGCTGAATTACATGAAAAAGATCATGCTTTCAATTTGGTGAGACATTAAAGGCATTATATATATATATAATTATACATGCATACATACATACATACAAATATATATATATATATATATATATATATATATATATACACCTAAGTCTGTTTTTATACGGTCTTTTTGTACACGGTTTTGATATAACACGGTTTGAAAATTGAATATTTTTAATTTTTTTACACGATTTTATTCCATTTAGCACGATTTGAAATTTTATGTACTTAAATTTTTTTATCAAATTTAATTTTTGCGATGTATGTTCATATCACAAAAAAGTACTTATGAAAGAAAAAAGTCTGAAACCATCGATAGTATCGATAGTTTGCGAACACTAGCTTAAAGATTTAAGTGAATTCCCCTTTAGCGCTTACAAACAATTTTTACTGGTCAAAGCAAATGTGAATAGCACTAATTTAGGGGAATTATTATTAAAATAAACATGAATTCTTGTTCTTGAAAATTCTTGTTTTTCACTAATTTTAATAGGTTTTAGAGATTAGGAACAAATCACCCATTTTTGTATAAGATCAATGTCTTTTTTTACACGGCTTCTTCTGGAACCAATCTCCATGTAAAAACAGACTTAGGTATATATATATATATATATATATATATGTATAGTATATATATATGATTCTGGATTTGATGTATATAAATATCGTGTGAACGGGATCATAAGTTCAAACTCCTTGCTAGGCAACATGACATTGTGCAGTAGCGATGTCCATTTTCACTTGAAAATATAGTTTCAAAAATATGTTTCCAATTAAAAATACCCCATTTCAGCCACTGCGGTGTGAAATGCCAATGGAAAATTTCTCACAACGTTCTTCCCTGAATGTGTATTTTGAACATTTGAAAACGACAGGCTGTTGCATATAATTTTCCAATAGAAGTACATTTTTGTATATTGAACTGAATTATATTTTATAATTGTAATTATACAATTTAATTGAAGTAGATTGGCAAATGTTTGAGCATGTTTCATGGCTTTTTGTTAGTTCCTACTATATTAAATATACTACATGTATTGACACTTAAATCAGTGAATATGCTTCAATTGCGCTACCTGTGATCCAATATTTCAAAAATATTATGCCATGAACATTAGATTGAACTTCACTTTCATAATGATAAAAATAATTAACAGTGTGTCACATTGTAACTTCTAAAGCCCTAGCACTAACTAATCAATATACTTTCAGGTAAGATACTCTATAATAAATGTTAGTGTAGTAGCCAAATATTGTTCTTAAATAAACTTTATTTGATAAATGGTACATATGACACAATCGATAATTGACACATTTATACAATGGGTATTTTAATGGTATTACTACATTATTCTGCATGGATGCGCAGTACTCATGCAGTTATAGGAATGGCCAGACCATGGAAATCTTATGTCACAAAGTCATTTTGTAAAATAATAGGACACACATATTTAATGAAACAAATTAAAATGTTCTCTTAAAAATAAATGTAAAGTGACATAAAGCTTGCATGATCAGATTATAACACTATAATTCCTATGGATGTATTTGTGACCTAATAATTTCAAATATGAAATTTAAATAAATAATTTGAAAATTACATTACATAGACAATCACATGAATAATTGTGAAATATTTAACTACTAGTAATAATTTTAAAATAATTATCTGACATTTGCTCATATCTTTCACCAATATTTAAATGCATTGAAATATAAATAATATATCTTACATCCGAATTACAATTGTTTTAAGAGACATTTATATAAAAGCATTTTATAAAATAATATAAACTGTTTTAATATAAGGTCTGTTCCTTTAAATACTGCTATAATTGATAACAATTTGACAACACGTTTATAAAAAATTCAATATTAGAACAATGATTTGTCCGATAAACATGTATTTCTATACATGTTTGCTTCATAAATACATGTACATATATAAAAACGTAGTTGATAAATATATAGAATGAAGGTGTAACAAATATATAATTATACATCTACTATTTATCAATGCTAAGTACCCTGTTTTTTTTTTTTTGAGAATATTAATAATAGTCAAGAAACAGACCTTATAATTGATTTTATATAATAATTTTAAATATAATTCAAATAAAAAATAAACATATGTGTGAATACTATATATATATATATATATATATATATATATATATATATATATACACACATATTTATACATACATATACATATATATATATATAAACATATGTATATGCACAAATATTTTGCACTTATCTGAGAAAAGTTTATGTTTTAATAATTAACTTTAATTATAATTGTATTTCCAATTACTTATGCATAATAATCAATATGTGTGGCTAAAATGTCGTTACATGTAAAACTTTATTTTCTCATGACAAGTGCAATAAATCAACAATTTTGTGTTCATTTCACAATAAAAATACATAAAACATAACCTAAATTTATTATAATTAGACAATATAAAAATTTCATAAAAGCATAATTATAAATTGATTATTGTACAATTGGAGATTAAAAATACTTACAAATCAAAAGTCTTATAATAATACTTATTTTACTATTCCAATAGTAATTTTGATCCAAATAAAAAACTTGATAAGTATTTTAATAATTTACAAACTGTTAAGCATATACAACAAAACCTCATAATGTTGATATTTAAATCTATATCTAAATATAAAAATTGTCAATAATCATAATTTTTCCATAAAAATAAGAATAGCTACATATTGAAATCGATGTATAATATAGTCAGTCAATGTTGAATCATAAGTTAAAACATTACTTTTATTAATATTATAAATAGTAATGCAAACACTTTATGTGTATTGTAAGTCTTATCTAAAAATAATTTATTACTCTGAGGAGGTTTTAGTGTATATATATTCAGATTTGTATGAACAATATAAAAAAAATCATATCAATAATTAAAAAGTCCTTTACATACTAACACTTACAAATCTGTATCGTACCAAGCGGCGACCTGATTGTTGTCAATGGGGGGAGATGGCATTGTTTCTAGATGATCAAAATTCAGATCAGTCCCATCTACATCACCAACATCCATGTCCATTGCATATGGAGAATTAGGATTTTGATGAGCGGAACCTATGTCCAAACCTTGCATTGAATCTATTGGTATCTGGTCATACCCTAAGAAAAATTCAAAACAATTAGGGATACCCAATATTAGAAACTAACACTATAGAAGATGTTTTGAAAAGTTCTAAGACAAATACAAGATATTTATATGATTTGTAAATATATTATTTTCAGTATTGTGAAATATTTCAAGAACAATTTAGACTAATAGAATATAAGCAATTTATAAAGTCAAAAAAAGCATGGATCTATTAATAATATAATGAAGAACAACTTTGTTCTTACAATCCACTATCTCTTATCTACGTAAGTATGATTCTGATTCTGATGATTTTGTGCAATAATACAAATCCTTGTAAACAGGTCGTATAAACCATTTTATAATGATTACTACTATGTATTGATGTCTGCCATTTAATTTGAATCAGTTAGGAAAACAGCCATAAAAGAACAGAAACATTGCACATTGCTGTAAAATTTATATTGAAAATTCAATAAATAATACTTTATAAAATGTATCTTCAACAGGTTGATTTAAACTGTATCTATGCATGAGGGAAAGATATAGCTAACAGCATACTTTTCTGTATTAGCTAACAACTCCAAAATAAAAGTGCAATGGCAAATAAAATTAAAGAGATTGCAAACATCGTTTGTTAAAGTGTTAAAAAATGAAAATATCAAACTAAAATATTCCTTAATAATATTAAGATCATCAAACTTTCAATCAATTTATGATAAATCATCTTACCAAATAAGATAGATAATACAACTGAATAATAAAAGCAAATGTCCAAAATATGGGTAATTATAATACATGTACTATAAAACTTTCATAATACATTTCTTTACAACAAAGTAGTGCCTAATTATTTACCTGTTTGTTGAAAGTTTTGGCCCCCATGCGAGCTATGCACGCTGGGTGGCCCACCGCCTTGTTGATACAGCCCTGCATCATAACCCTGATCTGATCCTAACATTTCCTGTGAAATTTTGGGTAGAACAAAAAAAAACTCAAAAACATAAACAAACTACAGAAAATATATTTTCAAGTAGAACCATGCACACTACTAATCATAGTCTTACTATTACATATAAAAACAACAATTGAATAATTTTACTAATAAAAGAACTATTAAGTAAAAAAAAAAAAAACAAGTCGTTCTTTGAATAGAATAAAACTCAAAACTATTTCTATATATTATAATATTAACAGATCGTTGGAGTATTTATTTTATAGATGTTGGCAAATTAGTTTTGATTTCAATTTGAAGATTATCAACATTTGGCACATAACGCAAGGGTATTAAGTATGTGTCGTCAAATCACCCTTTTCATGGTTATTATTAAAATGAGCCCTAAATTATGTAAAAAGAAAACAATATCTATTTTATAAATTTCCAAATAAAAATCTGAAGTTCCGGAATTGATAAAATGATTGTCTAGAAAGAGGCATGTAAATTTATAAAAGTATGTGGAATAAAATATAGATTATTTGAGGACTATATAACAATGCTGATTATTTGATGTGCTTATTTTTTCTGCATAACTCTAAAACAGCCTGCCTTTACAAAAAAAAAAAAAAGTTTTCTTTTTATCCATTATTGAGTGGTTTTCTCAAAAAGTAGAAGATTAACATTCTACAATCACACAATAATATATATTATTTGTAAGTATGTCAATATGATCAAACAACGTTGAAATGCAAAGATAAATTCATTTTCAATTTTAATAGCATATCCTAAGAAAAGTTAAAAATAAGATTTTATTATAAAATAAAAAAATACTAAAGAGAAAAAAAATTACTCATTATACAACACATACCTGCATAATATTCCTTCAGTGAACTTTGCAAAAAAAAAATTATTTTTTGGAAACTAATTACTAGATTTCTATATCTTATAATCTTAACAATTTTAATATAACTGGATAACTTACTTGTAAATCAGATCCAAGTCCCAAATCACCATTGGCCCACAGATTGTTATCCTCGCGGAATAATGAGTTAGTCAGCTCAATGGACAAACGTTTCTTATAATCTTGCGGTTTATCTTCTGACATACGGAAGAGAACGGCAGCAGCATATGTAGCAACACCCTCATTGCGAGAATGGAGTAACTCAGTAAGAGGTGCAGTAGCACCTTCCTGCTCTATCATTTCAGCACCTTCTTTATCAGCTGCTAACTCACAAAGAACACCAGCTGCTACACGCTAATTGTAGGAAGCAGAGAGTTAATTTCAGAGCAATTTTGTTTCACATGAAAAACTATCCATCTGTTTCCAAGCTTGTATAATTTCTACTGCTATTATCTGAGTTTTCTTATTTTCTGATTGTATATTTAAAATACTCACAGAATTATTATATGATGCATAAAACATATATTTACTTATTTTATAAATTATTAATAGATTAGCATAAAAAAAAAAAATATTTTTTCTTGATAATTTAGAAATTATATTAGTTGAGTATGTTTATTATACTCAAGTAAAAATGGTTATTTAGGTAAGTAAGACCAAAGGAAAATAAAAAATACAGTTGCAAAGAAAAAACAAGCTCCAACCTGAATATTTTCAATCTCATTGAATAGGAGTTGTACAAATATTGGTACAACAAGTTGTTGTCGTATGATGGCTCTATTGTTCGATTCTCTAGCCAAAATATGAAGAGCTCCCACAGTGCCTTCAACAATTTCTTCCATCCTAACTCCATCAGCATATGCTCCACTTTGCTGTGATCCGGCTACAGCTGTACGCTACATATACAATAAAATAAATATATTATATATGAATATAATAAATGAATATCAGGATGCAGTCCTGAAAAATGTAGCTATAAATAAACATTGTAAATAAAAGTAAAGTCTATGTCATATCTATAATCAAATATTATTGCACAAAAAATCATTCAAAATTAATTGCATAGTTTTGAAGCATACAAATATTAACAAAATTATTATTGAACCAGTTCACAAGATCAGCAAAATCAATTACTGTATTGAATGAATATTTAATTCAAATATATTATACTTCAACGTCTCAATGTATATCATAATTAGTTCAAATACTTCATTTAGTTCATTTAAATATACAGTAGAACCTCGACTATCCGGACCTCGGTTATACGGATTCGCGATTATCCGGACATAATCGCGACGGAACTTGCATATTCTGATGTGCATATATACATTAATACATTCTCTGTTTTGACGTGCATATATACATTTTTAAAGGGTGGTGTTATCCCTTAAAAATGAAATAAATATTATAGAATCATTAAAAAAGGCGAAACCGGCCGTAAGTTAGCTGATAAGTATGGTGTAGGTACATCCACTTTAAGCGATATTAAAAAAAATGCCGATTCAATTTTGTCATACATTTGCAAGTTAGATAGTGAAAAGGGAAGTGAAAATCGGAAAATGATGAAGAGACCGAAAAAAAATTACTCATTATACAACACATACCTGCATAATATTCCTTCAGTGAACTTTGCAAAAAAAAAAATTATTTTTTGGAAACTAATTACTAGATTTCTATATCTTATAATCTTAACTCTTAGAAGAAGCTTTATATTGTTGGTTCTTACAAAAACGATCAACTAGACAGCCGATATTTGTGAAAAGGAATTACAGTTAAATGAAAAATTAGGCGACGATGAATCGTTTGTGGCAAGTAGTGAATTGATTTTTGTTGATATCTATGTATGGTATGTATTTGTTATTTTTGATAAACAAAACATTATTCTTCATAATCTGGATTATCCGGATTTTCGATTAACCGGATGCCTATCGACAACAATTAGTCTGAATAATCGAGGTTCTACTGTACTTTTAATCACAACTATTCGACAGCTGAATCAAATTTACTTAAGGCATCTTTGAAGGAATTGCAAAGGTGCACAATAAAGTGGGCACATCTATGCTACTGCCAAAAACATCTCTTACTGAATTCAGATAAAATTATCTATCTTATAACACCATTTTTATATTTATACAATATTAATGTACTTATTTTACCCTTTGAGTATCCTGGAAAGCTCTCATCAACAGACGAACCAAATGGTGAATGGCGCCATTTTCTCGTAGAGGAGCATGATTGGCGGGACACAGAGCAAGATTTCGTATTAGTCCAATTACAGCTTTTACCAATGGCCAACGGGATGGAGGATGCAAAAGTTTTACAATCACCTGGAAGGCGGGAATCTATTATAAGGAAAGAAAAATTAGTAAGATCTGATTTAACCAGATCTAAAACTTCTTTATTAGTTATCTCTCTTGTGGCTACGGATTTACCTGAACACCGTAGTTTAGCCTCACCGAATTTTGAGCCATTTCGGATTCAACATGGCGTGATGTAAGATGCCTTAAAGCACAAACTGCTGGTTCTGTTATTTCTTCTCGATCACCAGCATTAACAATAGTTCTTACCAAAGCATCAACACCACCAACTTGGCATACTGTTACTTTATTACGTTGATTATTACATGTTAAGTTTGATAATATACCAGCAGCACATGTTACAACATTTACATCAGTAGATGCAAGAACTTGAACCAAACTGTGCAGAAGACCTTCTAATCCATCTACTTTAGTTCCAGCATCTGATAAATTTCTTAAAGTCCACAGGCAGTTCTGAACTAGACGCTGAGATGTATTGCCTAAATGCATAGCTAAAGCTTGCATGCCACCTGCTTCCACAATAGCTGGTTTGTTGCTTGAACAAACTGACAGAACTTTCAAAACTCTGGATGTGGTCCACAGCAACTTCTCATAGTCATATGAACGCATTATGCGTACCAACTCTACAGGTCCTTGAGAAGCAAGGATGATTAATTTACTCTCTTGATTACCATAAGCCAAAATTTGAAGACAATCTGTGACTATAGCAAGAAACTTGACATTATTGCGCTGCAATAGATTAACCATTTTCTGCAGGCCACCTGCTAGGCGGACTGCCATTTTGGAACCATCTTGGTGAAGAAGAAGATTATGTAAAGTTGTGATGGCATAGAAAAGAACACTTTCCACTTGAGAACTAAGCAGTTTCACTAAAGCAGGTATTCCACCACTCTTGAAAATAGCCAACAAACCTTGTCTGTGGTGTGATAAATTATGCAAAGTCCCAACAGCTCCTTTAGTTGTTTCTAAATCATTTGAATTTGAAATGGCACGAACTAAAGCTGCAACCATTTGAGGACTGTTCATTATAGCATGACGAGAAGCTTCTTTTTTAGATAATTGATGAACCATCATAGCAGCCTGTGAGACAACCACTTGATCCTCGTCATTTAATAATTTTATGAGTTCTGGAATAGCACGTGTAGCCAAATCTGCATCATCTTGATAATTGATGAGATTTACCACTGCATGCTTTAACATTTGAGAAGGTTCAGCAAGTCTTTGCACTGCAGTAGCTTGTGCTGGGTCAAACTGTGTTGAAGGAATCTCAATTCCTTCTTCAAGTGTTTCTGGGAACATGGCAGCACGTACCCGTTGAGAGCGAGTCTGACTCAGTTGTTGATTCATGTCTAATTAGATGATAATAATAAAATCACTTGTAACAAGCATAAAAAATGTAAGATCATACATTGAAGTGTTAAAAACTAAATTAATTAAGTAGTAAATAATATACAATAATAGAATTTTTCAATAAATAAGTTGACCAGACAATTTTTTGCATTAGAATTATTATGCACTGTAATTTTTATATAATTCCTAAATCGGTCACTACTTCTAGACCTATCAGTATTGAGATATGAAATGATTGATATCATTTTAAAGCAATATATTTTATTTTATGCAATTAATATTGTGAAACTTTTATTAATATTTAAATTATTGTTACAAAAAACATGTAAACATTTTTTATTTTGATTGTTACAACCACGGTACTAAACTTTCAATATAGATCAAATGTATGTAATGAAGAAATACAAATAACAAAATTACCTTCTACTTGATCTTGTGTAAACCCTTGTGGAAAACCTTGATCTAAATCGAACATCAGTTGATGATCGCCATCCATCTCGTCTTCCTCTTTCCCGCATAATGAAGGAACTTGAGTTGCAGCCCCAGAGTGAATACCAGAATCACCCATATAAGAATTCTGCTGCCAGAGCAGTGTTTGCTCTTTAGAAGATGAAATCGGCAAGTCCGATGCACTATAGTTGTTATGTGACACTGAAAATTGGATATGGAAAATTAAATCAAAGAACTTTAATTATTTTATTCTAGCACTTTGAATTAATACTGCTATCATTCTAATACTATATTTTCAAAATTAAACTAACATATTTCATTCATTATTCTTTATATCAAAAATACATCAAAACACGAGTCTATTTTCAAACACTTTTAAATAAATTTTACTTACTTGTGCGATTTTGGGCCGGTTGATAAGCCATCGCGATATGTGTTCTTCCTGTAAGCAAACTTATTTATAAAATTCACGAAATTAATTTTAATTAATAATTAATTTATAGTTGCACATATTTTTCAATCACTATACACTTTTGCAGACGCAAACACTTTTATGAATTCTCAGAATAAAGTGAATTTTATGACTCAGAATTACACCAATTTCTTAAAGACATAAAGTATTAGATACCCAATTGAAGTATCAGTTGTTTAATAATAAGGCAACTAAATTAAATATTAAACATATGTAAAGTAAATAAAATTGAAAATTTTAATGTAGGCCAAAAAATGTTTCAGGAATCTTTCTGAGATAATAATTGTTTAATGATTAGTGACAGCCATTTTCAAATACCGTTTCCACCACACCCTGTTAAGGTTTATAGTTAATTTGTTATATTTCACTCAGAAAATGATTCAGAATTGTTATAAAGCACTACATATTATAGTTATTGACAGAATTCTAAAACTGTGATCAAACTAGTATGGAATAAGTAAATACAATATACAACATGGCGTCAAGTCAACAAAATACACAGAAAAATATTTATTAGAAACGGGAATCAGAATCAACACTTTTTGTATCTCTAAACGTTAAACTTGTTTCTGGGCCGTAAAATTCACTAAAACAACATACATATTGTGCAAAATAAACATGTAACATCAAATTTAAATTTTAATCAATGCGTACCCAATTGAACTACTCGACATACAAATACAAGAAGCTTCAAACCATAGAGCGCTGTGAGTCGATTCAGAGGCACGACGTTTCGTATAAAACAAGGGTCAAAGGAATATGACAACAAAACTGTATGCTTATTTATCTATGCTGTATACAGTGCTGAAAGCGGTAAATTATGAAATTCATAGATAAGGATGAAACTGATGTACTCCTTTATAAAAAAAAACTAGTAGGGCCTTAAGGCAAATTGCTGGAACTTTCCGAACCGTAATTAAACATACGAGAAATGAAAATTCTCAATAATTGTTTTGAATAATTTCAAAACTTTCAAAATTTTCAAATAATTTTGATTATTTATTATAAAAACATACTGTAAACTTATAAGTGCTTTTTAAATTGGGCGACGAGCGTATTCTACAAACAACTTTGTGTATGTTTATAAGAATTTTTTTTAAATTTGATTTTTTTGATAATTTAGTTTTTTTTTTCAAAATTTTGAAATTTTTTGGAATTTTTTAAAAAAAATAATGATTGATTTTTTTAAAAATTTTGAAATAATATCACATTTTTGTAAGAAATCCATTTTTTTTAAATTTTGATATTTTTGAAATTTTTCAAAATCTAGTTTTTATTTTGAAAATGATGAAAAATTTGGAAAATTTGAATTTTTTGTATCTTTGAATTTTTTTGAAGGTTTTTAATTTTTTTTTGAACTGTCGAAAATGTCGAGCCCATTTATTTGAACCTAATACGTAAATTTTAAAATTAAAAATCTTGGTACCGAACGCAAAGAATTGACACAAAATGTGTACACTTTATTAAAATCTCTATATAATATCTAATAATTTCATGTGTATATGTCCAATGAACATTTTTGACCGCCAAATGGCATTTTTTTAACTTATTTTTATTGACAGTCCACAACCGCTGGACCTGCCTTTCTAAAAATTTGAACTCTTCTTCGTGTAGTCAAGAAAAATAAAATATTTTTTGAATAAATCAAATCGGACGCTTCGCTCTCTCAAGAACTGAATTACTATTTTTAGTTCTTTTTGCTCCGTATCTTCTAAACGGCTTGACCTGCTTATGCCAAAAACTAATCAGCACGTCTCCTTATCAATACAAATCGAATGCTTCTTAAACTATTTAAATTGGTTGATCCGTGTTCCCGAAATCGTCGACAAATCCGCACACACGCACGCACATACATACACATACACATACATCCATTTTTTCCTAAGATATGCCAAAATGTTCGAAAGGTTTTAAAACGTGAAGATATATAAAAGGATTCATTTTCGATTTTTTTGCGATTACTCTGTCTTACCCTATGGGAAGCTAAAATTATGATTTTTTATTTATAATTAACTTCCCGTAGGGTAAGTTAAAGTTATAGCAATCGTCCAAAAATCTAAAATGAAAATGTTTGCATATCTTTACGTTTCAGGTTTCTGAACGTTTTGGAATACCATAGAAAAAATGGATGTGCACATGTGCATTTATGTGTGGATACAATTTTTTGTCCAAGTTTTCGGAGCCACGAATCAATCAATTTGAATAATTCAAAAGGATTTCGATTCTTATTGATAGGGAGATGTGCTGATTAGTTTTTGGCAAAGACAGTTTAAGCCGTTTGTAGATACAGAGAAAGAAGTTCAGAAACTGGAAACTCGGTTTTTGCAAGAATCAGGCATCCAATTAGAATGTTTCAAAAAATATTCGGTTCGTATTGACGGCTGATTAGTTATTATTATTAAAGCAGTTCCAGCTTTTGCAAAAACCGTAACTTTGGAGCAAAAAGTGGTAACACTAGCAGTTATTAAGAGAACAGATCATATAATTCAAAAAACATATTGCTTGTGTTGACAGTGTGAAAAAATTAATAGTTTTTGTAGCAAGCAATTTCTATTTAATTCATTAACTTCCCGTGGAGTAAGTTATTGTAATGGGCCGAAAATCGGAATTGAAAATTTTTACACTTCTCGACGTTTTGAAGGTTTCTGAACATTTTGGCATACCTCAGAAAAAATGGATGTGTGTGTGTGTGTATGTATGTATGGATACAAATTTCCAGTCACGTTTTCGGGGGCACGGATCAACCGATTTGAATGGTTCAAAAAACATTCGATTCCTATCGATAGGGAAAACAGCTGATTAGTTTTTGGCAAAAGCAGGTCCAGCCGTTTCGGGGATACGGAGCAAAGAGTGCAGAAAATAGAAATCGACTTTTTGAGAGAACGGAGTATCCGATTTGAATGATCTAAAAAACATTCAATTAGTAATGATTGGGAGAAGTGTTTATTAGTTTTTGGCAAAGGCAGGCCCAGCCATTTCAAAGATACGGAGCTAAATATGTAAAAAATGGCAGTTTTTGAGAGAACTAAGCGTCCGATTTGATTGATTCAAAGAACTTTCTGCTTGTCTTAACAAAATAATTGATTTTGGAAAAAAATGTTTTGTTTCATTTTTTTTTTAATTTTTTGTATATCGAAAATAATTCAGATTTTATTTTTAATTCTGACTATAGTTCTAATATACTTTAAACAAATAATTTCAACTTTGCAATTCAGTTTATATAATTCTTATGAATATTAGACAGTGTTACAATATTTATAATAATCTATTTAAAAACATTCAGTATTCCTCGAACATTTCGTTACGGTACGGGAAGTTCCAGCAATTTGCCTTAAGGCACGATGCCACCCACCCCACTAGTTTTTTTTTAAATTACGTCGGTACATGTATTTATACTGCAAAATTAAACTAATCGTGCAAGCAAGTGTTTAACTCTCATTTTTTTAAAATTTGGACATCTAAATAATATTACACAATAATGAGATATAGGATATTTATATAAATATACATTTTTACAATATAGTATTACAAAAATACAAATGGGCCTTCTTCGAAAAATATCGTCGGAAGAATTCGAGTCTGTTACAGCGGCAGCCAATGGTCCTAAATCAGATTTTCTCCTCTTCGATGGTCCAGGAACTTCAGGAATATTATCTTTTTTTACACTCGTCTTCCCATTGAAAGGTTTCAAATACATTGTCTAACTCTCTCATATAGTCCTCATCGTATAAAGGTGCGTTAACAACTAGTTTTATCATGTAGCATCGATAAAATTTAATTGAATTATCTTAATTGAATAATCTTACGATTCTAGAAAATGTTATTCAAACATTTTAGTAACAAAAATCCCACCTGTGTTAAAAATTTCCACAAAAAGAGGTATTATACCATGTCGATGGCTATTGGTTTATATGTATTTATAATACAAAAAGGCGGAAGGGAGAAATTTGACAACCTAATATAATACCTACGCGGTGGCGATATCGGTTAGAGCGTGGGCTAGCACCAACTAGTCCCAGGTTCGCTGGAACGATTCTCGCTACCGCCACGTCTGACATCAGGCAACTTTGATGTCAAATTTCCACTTGAGGTCATAGATCTCAAATATAGCCTCAAGTGAAAATCGCCTCTCGTGGGTATAGTTGCACATATAATGAAAATGTCAGCAAATACTTCGAGTATAGATAATTAGTCCTTATACCTAGTAGACACGCCGCTGGGTGTTGCTACTATCTACTGGTTTATATCGTAAAATAATCATTGTTAGCAATCTCTGCGCAATGTTAATGCTCATGTAAAACAGATTGCAGAATAAATTAAATAAAAAAAATACAATGTCGAGTATCACTCGGTAATACAGCTAGTGGAACAAAATCAGTGTTGAGTGGCACTCGACCTTGGAATGGAAAGGGTTAAGCGTCTGCACCTATAGAAGAAATATAAAAATAAAAATATAGCAAAATAAAAAACTTCAAAATAGAAAGAAGAACAAAATCAGTGTTGAGTGGCACTCGACCTTGGAATGGAAAGGGTTAAGCGTCTGCCCTATAGAAGAAATATAAAAATAAAAATATAGCAAAATAAAAAACTTTAAAATAGAAAGAAGCGCAAACGTTCTTTTTTATTTTAAATGTAAATGGATATATATGTTCTATCTTCTATAGGTGCATTGAAAAAATACAATTGATTATTAATCATTTTTCAGAGAAAAATCAGAGAAAATACTTAAATTTGTTTTCCAAGTGCATTAGCATGGGTTACCAAAATTAATAGCCTATAGAATATAATTTTGTTCTGTATAGAATATAGTTGATTGCCATTCAAATTCAATACATTTATAAAAAAAGTGCATTAACCCTTTTGCAGGACCCTTTCCGACCAGGACACCTCGAACTTTTTTCATCCTTCTCTCGACAATACGACAATACCGCGGTAAATGCATGTTTATATTATTTAGACAATGCTCCAAAATAAAATTCAAATAGAAGCAAATATTGTTTTTTAAGTGTCTTAAGAGTAAAAGCTTATCAAAATAACTTATCGAGATTAATATAAAAACGTGAATTTGATTAGTTTTCTTAATTTTACTTAGATTTTACAAATATATATAATATCGAGCCATTCGATCTCATGCTTATTTATATATAATTACAAGCAATA